CTATCATTTTGTGAAAAAATTTCAGAAGTTATATAAATTTAGATGATATACGAATCAAATTCTATAAACCAAATTTGTGATCAATCAATTTCAAAAGCATTTAAATTTTACTATTTTTTCACATGTGTTTATCTATAAATTATTGCGTATTTCATTTTATAAATTTTATCTTTCCAATCACGTGTGGACTCAACATTTTTTTTTCAATAGTGGACACGGACTATAACAAAAAGTATTCAAATGAAAATATTTATATATATATCATCATATGGTTCACTTTCGTATATATTAAACATTTAAAAATGATGTTTGAATTTGTATAAATAAAAATTGTGAGCATAAATCTTAAACATCATTTAAGTATATCAATGTTTTAAAAAATCATCTAACTAGTTGTTCCGCGCATTTTCACTAGTATACAATAAAGTAAACAAACTAAAATGGTGTTGACCAAAATTAAGAACCATTTAAAGCGAATCATTATAAAAAGTCTAAAGTCTCACCAAGTACATAAACTTCAAGCTAGACGAATTTTCAGAACATCATTTCACATATCAAAATATCATTGAAAAAACCGAACCTTGTTTCTAATTTGTTATGGATGAGAACGAAACTATTGGAGAGAAAATGTGAGTGTAATCAAAGTCGAACAAAATCAATGTCTTTGTTTGAATACGAATGTCGACGACACAAACGAATTTGTTCCTTTCATATGGATATATATATATTAATTTCAAGTAGAATTTTTTTTATTATGATGCGAATGTAATGATTGTCATAATTAAGCAATCATTTGTTGCAATCCCCATTTTTATCTTTTAATTAATTATTGGGAACAAAAATAAATAAAAGTTGTCGCTGCCTAGTTGTACGGACTGCCTAACCATGTAACGTGATTAGCCAACGAATCGATCGTAGACAAATAATTTCCTAAGACTTTGCATATAATACTAGTACAAATGGAATTATTAACAAATTTTACTTAGAAAATTAAAATAATCTATCGTAAACAAAGGAAATTTAAAAATTTTCAAACCAATAACAATGAAATTTTAAGAATCAATAAACCATAACGTTGAAATTTCGAAATTTTAAAAATTTATTCAAATCAGTTTCGCAATAACCGCTTAGTGATGTATCATGCAGCGATGTTGTGATATTATTATCATATCCATTTCCCAGAACCAATACCGAACTGAACTAAA